AAACTATGTCATTGGACCAATCATCAGGAAAAGGTTTAAATACAAATGATTGAACATGAAAACAAAAAATACATACCCAAACACTCCATGTATGGCATATTTACATACATTGGGGTGGTTTTAGGGGTCAATGTGGGTAAATATTCCATACATGGGACCCGTGGGATAAATAAATCTGCATCGTGTGTTTCACGAGGTTGATTTTCATCTTGTGCACCTGAAAGGAGCGAAACCCTCAGAGTCCGCCCCGTTCCACTCCCCAGCGCTAAACATGTGCAAGCTATACAGGCGGAGAAGGGAAAAATCACCTGTCACATTGCCCAAACAAGCACCATTCGATTTTTGTGCCCAAAGCTGCTTTCTTGTCTCTCTTTTGGCTCTGATGGCAGGCCACCAGGACGTTGATAGGCACCGTGGCACGGCTTGGCCGAGCTAGTCGGTGTTCAGTGTTTAATGTACAGGGCCCAGAGTTTCTGTGCCGCCAAAGACACAACATCAGTTGCTGCAAGTCTTGAAAACAATTGAAAACGGTACCCGGTTTCGCGTACGTAGCTCAGCTAGGTCAGGGTTTTTCATCACAACCAGGAGGAACAAACCAGACCTGGATCCTTCTAGTGAAGTGAAGTCCACCGTGAGTTTTCCTCCTGGTGGGGAACTCAGAATCACGTAGTATGTTCTGGTACCCGGACGGGGCGTAGCGTGTCCTTGCTTAACCCAACTATCCCTGGGGAGTGTCCTGTCAAATGTCCTTTAGACAAACATGTAAGGTGCAAATGTTGAGCTAAAGAGGTGGACGACTAAGCCTAAGCGGATGCCAGCATCTAGATACTAAATCTTACAAACATCTAAGTATATGTCTCATCTCACTTTGCTTAGATGTGTGTTGCTCCTCAAGATGCTTCTTCTTCGGGAGATATTCGGAAGTGATCTCAATGCGGCTTTCATAGTAATTTCATAGGGCCTTCGTCAACCACGACGTCGGCGCCCGCATTTCGCTGCGGAGGCACCAATCCTCGTGGTTCTCTCGCGGCCGCTGCAGAGGCGTTTTGTCCGGCTCGTCCGCCCAAACAGCGATTTCAGCATGAGCGAAACCAAATGCTTCAGGACCGGTGTCTCTTCACAGTACGCAATGTATGCCTGTAGGTCTAAAATAGTTAGGATTCCAAAATCCTTCACGAGGAAACAACAACTCTACATCTTCCCCGTTCTGGGCCTTTGTTTCAACCCTCACAGTGGAAACAGCAACCCCTGGTGGTTGGACCAACCATCGGCCAAAGCCCAACTAGAATCCTAGTGTCCTTTCCACAATGCACAACAGCATGTTGTCCAGTGGGCTTCGAATATCAACTGTCCTTCTACTTGTACCACACGGATGTCGATCATTCCAGGAGGAGAAGAGAAGCATTCGACACATGCAAAAAAAACATGTTCCATGGTCTAAGTGGACATCCTACCAAACAAGACTAAACATGGATCGCCGCTGGATCGCCCAAGTCCATGAACATCCAACTTCCCCGGTTGGTGCTTCGTTCCTCTCCCATGGTCCATAATTCTATCAACCAGCAATCACGTCTACAAGACCCAGACCACCTCCCAGGACCGACTACTTGCCCGGATCGAGATCCGCGCTTCTTTAGCCCGGTCGCGCGGGAAACGGATGGAGACGCCCCAAAGAAGTCTGGGAAAGCAGTGGTCCGGCATCCAAAGAAGTGCTGGGTTGGAAGGACATGATCCGAAAATCACGAAAATCTCATCTCATATTCTCATCCCCAAGACCAGGCCATGTCATTGCCCAATGTATTGGGAGTTGCCCCCCTCCCTCAGTTGTGGTTGGCGGCATCATCCACCCGCTGTCGACGTGGCAGTACTTTACACAATTCGCAGCCTACGATACAGACGGAGCTGGGCGACTGCGCCGCTGTTCTGCTTGTGGAGTCAGCACGAGGTTGTGCACTCGGCTGTCTTGAATGAAAAACATCAAGTTCACTTGCTTCAGGTATTGTCTTTGGTTGCTGCCTGGGTATCTGTCTTCGTGTTGCCTTGACAAAAAAGCACATGCTTGCTAAAAAATGCTTGCTGGTCCCGTAACATGCCAGGCTTCTGGGAGACTTCTTGCTTGTTCAACTCGGAAAACATGCTCCATGTGACCAATTCACAAACCTCCCAACTCCCGCTTTGAGAGAGAAGTGTATGAGGGTAAGTTGGAATGGGAAACTGTGTCTGGGTCTTCTACGGCACGTCTACGACCGATTGCAAGGTTCGTTCCAGCTAATCTTGATTGCAAGGTTCTTCGTATCAACTCCAGCATAGGTGTTTAAAGTGAAGTCTTGGAGTGGAGGTGATGCTTGAGAGATCCTGGCGATCTCTCTGCCCCCTCAAATTTAGATGTCCACAGTCCACATCTTCAGAGTTGCACAGAAGCAAACAGGCCTGGCTATTCCTTCCTGAAAGACTTTTTTTTGCAGTGAAGACCCTTGTAATCCTTTGTATATATACATAAATTATAGGAAATCGATCTTCAACTTCAGGGCTTTGAAAATTTCTTGGTGACAAACTCACAGCCCACTTGCATCTTTCACCCTGCTGCTGCCACAAAGCGTCGACCAGCTGCCGCCCAAAGCGTCGAGCCAGGCTAGAAAAAACGAGGTCTTGGAGTTGAGGCCCCCGAAGCAACAGCAGTCACCCTTCTTCCGAAGGCGCGAACACTTCTTGACACATTCGGCGGACAACATCCTGCAGTAGAAAGGAAAGCGATAGAACCAAGTTCCACAATCAAAATGTGGCAAATCCAAAAGCAACGAGCCAATACCAGGCTTTTCTTCCCATGGCTCCACTGAACTGTGGCTCTGTCTCAAGATGAGGCAAGTGGCATTCCTCATCTCATCCACAATGACGATCAGAAGGCTGTTTTTGCTTCGCGGATTCGCTTAAGACTGGGTGCCACTCCCCCCAGTGAGGCTCATCAGACCCATCCATGACCCTTAGCCCCTGAGATTCACCGACGATGCTTTGGGGTCTCCGTTCTTTTGAGACAGATCCAACATCACCTTCCGCCTCCGGGTCCAGAATCGGTGCCCGGAACTTTCCCGATAAAAATCACCTACGACTTGCAGGACGTGCGAGCGGGCGGCGAAAGGCCTTAGTTGACCAAGGCCGAGGTTCAGAATGGTGGAGCAATTGAGCGTCGTGGCCCACTGTTAAGAGACGACTCCACATCAACCTCTTAAGACTGAAGGAACCTTCGCACCTTTCTCTATGCGCAACGGTGCTCACCTGTAACTGTAATCATCTCTGTAACCATCTCCTGTTTAGGACAGGTGTTCGATGCTTCGAATATCTTTCGGTCATCACAGTGGTGACTCTCGACCTTGGTCAACAAGCGGATCATCGCAAAGGGCTGCAAAGCCCCCCGAATTCCACCCTAAGAGGGTCGACTGTCAGTCGCAAATGCATGTGTTCTCCTAATTAAGTTGTATATGTGTCCTGATCACAGAATCTGTAAAGTCTCTTCCAACCAAGGTGTCCTCAAAAGACTAAAACCTCTCAGGTAATCTTCGATTTACAGCCCCCCCTTACCGGGGGGAAGGGTGTTCAACAGACCTTGTGTTCGCCACCCAGGCCTGCGCCTCTCAAAAAAGATCGAAAAAGAGTTGACCCCCTGTTCAGCCCTCAACACGCCTGCAGTCTCAATCGAATTGCACGGTGACGGCCGTGATGTTGTCCGCGCGGCCCTTAATAAAAGGCGCTGGTGCGCTGGCGTGCCACCCGACACCAAAGGAGGCTGAATGGTGGGCATGGGAAGTTTGGTGTATTCAGTTGTTTTCATATCTGTGGAGTTGTCCCCCCTGTTCAGCCCAAAGCTACAAGTCTCTGAAGACACGGACCAAGACAAACTCCTGGGAGCCGTTCCTCTTCAGGTTCCAAGTGAAGCCCTTTACATGGGTACTTCACCCCTGTTCACTCAATGACACTGAATTATTCCTCACCTCAATTCTGACTTGACATGTTCGAACCAATATCAATGCTTGGACATGTCATGGCATGAACAATGCGTGGTCATGGTGCCACACCCATATGGCACGTCTGCCAGACCTTCCTTCGACCCGCCAGACCTTTTTCGCCCCCCCCCCCACATGGGATTCGCTGCGATCTCCAGTGGTCATGAGCTGCGATCTCCAGACTCGCACTTCTGGGACCCGACCGGATCTCCGTTCCGTCGAACGGCCGGAAAGACGTGACCGAAGTCACCGCCCATACGGCCAAAAGCGTAGCATGTTGGGACGCTTCAAAACGGTTGTATGGACTGTATGGACTAGTGACTGGCCAGAAAACGAATCAGTATCCTACATCGTACCATAGCAACAACATATCGCCACAGTGCAACAAATGCTGCAGTGTTCATCCACACGTGGTCACGTGTTGAAGATTCGTGTGACGTGTATTGGCAAAAATCACTCCGAACCTTCGATGAAACCTCAGATTCAAGTACACATGCGGCGACAAGAACCTGCGACAATTTTCAGAAACCCAAAAACGCACCGCACCCTCAGAATCCTAAAGCACTTGCTCAAGCTGCTTGAGCTCGTGGGTTGTGTTCTTCTGTTAAGCACAATCAAACAACATTTAGATTTGCACCTCCTTTACCGTCGGGATCTCCTGCCCATCTGATCGCCAACGCTGACCAAGTGGACCAAGCGACACCCAAGCGGCCCTGGGGACGGGTTGTTGGGCTGGCGCTGTTGCTGTTGCCTTGTTGGGTTTTATGCCAGTGTGAAACATGTACTCTCCTTCATCTTCAAACAATAGTTCTTGGTGGCTTTCACCAAAAACAAATGTATTTTTCTTGACATGGATGTTAAACAATATGTGTTTTGGGGTTCGTTCCCTTTGTTGTTTGGGCTCGGAGTTGGATTCATGATGTCACCATGTTGTTCGTATAAGGCATCACGAACGAACCGTTCTCCAGTTTCCTATTCGATGCACGGGTCCAAACGGTTCGGTCAGGTGGCACGACGCTTGCGGGCACAGGAAGAACCACTTCCATCAAATGGCGGTTCAGAAACCGGAGCCTCAAACCAGGGTAGGTGGACCTCTCAGCTAGTTCTGTTCCTTCTTGGTGGGACAAAAGAAGGGTGTCCTGGTGCCATGATCCACGGCCAAATGACCCTGAACACTCGGTTCACTGTCTTGACACAGTTCGAAGAGGAAGGAAGAAAAGCTGTTTGTCACAGGCAACCTTCCCTACGGTGTCGCAAAGGTCCGCTTGACAGGCGGACGTGTTTTGTGGTTGGCTGGAGTAATCGCAGTGCTGCGGCACTCTGTTCGTGTTGAATCAAACGCCGGATCCCGCTGGATCAGGACCCCATCTGTACCGGACGTCTTTCCTGTGTCTTTGTTTTCGCGCGTGTGACACGACCTGGACGACTTTAAGATTGAACCAATTCGAACGCGCCATGGATGAGGCAACCTTCCGAAAGATAATCGATGGAGAGATGAGTTGTACAGTGTGATACTTTTCACTGTCAGCTTACTTATACAACTATCATTTTCTAGAGCCAAATATGCAAAAAAAAGGAATACGAAAACATGCCACCTTGGCAAAGATACCGAGAGGCACCCACATCTGGGACATCTTCGTGGTGCTTGCGCCTATACGACTGTAGAATCTGGAATGATCTCAATGCTTGGTCAACACTAGTCTCCCCAATACCACTCAGTTAGGTGTCTCAAAAGGTGACAGTGACGACAACTGTTCTTTTCTTTCGGGGATGTATTTGTTGGATGACATGTCAAACAAGCCAGAAACAATTCTTCCCTGACGTTCACTGCAAAAAAACAATATACAATAAACAAAGATTCTCCCAGTAAATGCATCCCAAAGAGTCTCTTCGGGTTCTCCGAAACGCTCCTTCCCTAACTACGCCGGCCCCATTGGGCCTGTTCAACTCGCGATGTATGGGAAAACACGTTTTACCACATGTTTTCCCATACATCCGTGGTATTCCACATGATGAAAGATGGGAAACTGTTGCGAGTTGTTCACCTCATCCCTAAAGATCCCCAAAGCCGTACCTGGAGTCCCTGCCTGGGTGTTGAGCGCTGCCTGGACCAAGCACTCCGCCGGGTGCTGCCGATGGGCGATCGCCTCCGGGAGACAAATCGGAAAGGCCAGGAACAGAAAGCAAGACATGGAAAAGTCTGTGGTGCAAGATGAACCTCATGTCACATGTCCTCAAAATAAGTCCATGGTGGTCGGGTTGGGTTTATGTAGGAATTTTTCGGACGTTCACCTCAAAATAGATGGAATCAACAATCCCTTGGAGGGAATATCATGTTTAGCTTCTTGGGGCAGAAGCTCGGAGAATGATAATGGGGCGACGCAAGCGTCCAATCAATGGGGCGACGTGTGAACATCGCTCAGCATCAAGGAAAATAAGCACATGCATTTACAATAGTGGCGCTCTAACTTCTTCAAGGCAAACGGAAAGAACCTCGCTGCACATTATGTAGGTTCTTTCTTTTAGCGTGTCTGGGATGGGGTGTGAAAGACCCAACGTGTTTAACAAATGTGAAAATGAAACATCAACCTCTCTTCCCGACCATTTTCTCAGAAATCTGTCCGGGCTCCACCATTCACGGACCTATTCCTTTTGCATGCAGCGATGTCATGGCGATGTCAGCCCTTCTGGAAAGGAAATTGGAAGACGATTGAACATCTGTGGAGAATAGTCTACCAAGGCCCCCGGGCCATTGGGTGGATGATATGGACACGCCTGAAAACCATCCTGAAACCTCTTTCTCTGGGCACCCTAGTATTCTTGCGCGAAAAAGGTGCGGAGGTGGTACTCCTCCCCGGAGGGGGGACGTGCCTCCTGCAGCTGTCGAGCAGCCTGGCGCATCGACTCAGGTGGTCCATGATGTGAGTCTGAAAACGTCGGTGTTCACCATCACTCTATAAAGAAAGGCCGGCTGTATACCATCCAATTCCTGGAGACAGCTTGTGGACCATGGCACCGGGACACCCTGGGTTGACCACTGAAAATGAACAGAAAAGACTACTCGACCCAGTCGAGTTCGATGCCTCCTCCGTGCACTGGTTCAAGGATAGACTCGGACAGGCTAGATAATTTGGACTATGTTGGACTATGTTGGACGATTCAGTTTGTCAAAATACTCGCGTTCGTTGACCCAATCTAAAACCCGGTGTTTCTTAAGCAAAGACCTCGATTTCTGCCGGTTTTTTAAGCTGCCCGGCAGTTGGGAACTAATGGGAACTACACCTCTATGTTTCACCACCAACTCAGGTTCCCATCTTCTCAACAGAGTCTCTCAAGCACTGGCAATGTTTTCTTGCGATAACCCATCGGCCCCAAACCTGCGCCCTTCCATGTCGGCCAACCTGCTCCCTTCGGCCTCTTGAGCGCTCATGACGTCCCACAGGCCATCAGAGGCCAAGACCAAGAAGCGCACATTCTTCACCGCACCGGAGTCCATCCGGATGATCCTGAATGAGCGGCGTCGATTGATTGTACGAACCATCGACTTTGAGCGGAAGGGCGGAGGGGCTACGAGTATCTACCGTAGTCGACTGAGGTCTGGAAGTGGTAAGAACACGATGAAATTCATGTTAATTCTTTCAGTGTTCTCCGGAGTGACAAAGTCATACATGAGTTGAGTTGAACCTTGCGCAAGTCATTTAGGCGCAAAAGCACCAGCTGGCCGACAATCCCATATGTCGCGCATCTCCCATACCAGGCGCGGCACAATGCAATCGCTTGCGTCACGCCCTGATGCTTGCACCCTGTTCACCAGAAAATGGCAAAGCCATCTCAAGTTCTCAAGCCAACTTGGTGGCGTTTACATTGTCCTGTAGGTATCCACCCAATGTGGTGTGGTAGAATCTGGCAGAATGGAAAGGATCCCCGTGCGCACGACCCGGCTGTAATCAGGACTTGGATGAACTCCGGCTGCTTAAACAACCAGCTCCGAGCCGAGCCCCCCAGGCTTGACGTCCGGAACACTACTCAGGCCGAAGATCTTCAAGTCCTGCAGAGCGATCTCGGAGAGTTGGCCGAGCAAGGCTTTAACGCGCGAGATGTCATGGTGCTTTAGCAGGTGGGTCCCAGCTCAGAGGTCATGTTCATGTCTGTCTGAAAGATGGGGGTACTGTATACAGATTCTGCTGACCTGCGGACCGCTACGGCACAAAAACCGTTCTCCATGCGGAAAGACGCACCTACAAAGTCGGACACGAAACGGACCCGCCGTTTTAAAACCCATTGGAAAGAGAAACGCACTCCCCGAAACCAGGAAAGGTTCCTGGTCTTAGGGGATTATTTTTCCATATCTTCATTGCCTTCCGGCGTGGGTTGCTGACTGTTCGAAGGGTCTACCCTCCCGCACTGAAATTGAAGTGACTTGGAACTCTTCGACTCTGGTCAGATCAGAAACCCCCTGTCTCAACCCTCGGTCCCTCATATCTCAACGGGTCACGGTCCGTCGCCCACGGTCCGTCGCCCACGGTCGGCCCTCCTTTGCCCCGAAGGCTCGAGAGTATTGCAGCTGCATGGGCTGTTCGCCCAACGCCTCATTCGAGGAATGACGCGTTGTACACGCGACGCGGGCGGGGGGGGCGGAATGACCTTCGGCACTCAAAAAGGGTTCAGGTACCGGACATGTGGTGCCAAAGGTCCCAGAAAAAAGCCCACCAACATCAGTCCATTCAATATCAGGGGATCTTGGCAATCATCAGGATGGCAATGGCAAATGTAGTTTCTTATTTTTCAGGTGCGCACAAAAACTGGGGTCGACCATAGGCTCTGACGCAGCAGAGCCGCTACGTTGAAAAGGCAAAAAAATCTGGACGGAAACCATGCTCTGTTTCGCTACACGAGTGGACGTTGGGCTCCGAAATGTCAACCTTGCGGCTTTGGGGTCTTCCCTTGTCCAGTCAGGCCACCCAGCCAGTGATTGAGGTCTTTGGGAGCAAGTCTGGAAGAGAAAATGGGAAGCGTGTTCAACCGGAGGAACTCATGTTTCGTACGACCCTCCAAACTTTTACCCGGACTCCCTGCGGCTGCGACTGCGTGTGCTTCCTTTCTCGGTACGCACTTCTTGGTTCAGGAGATGAATTTCTGCCAGCTTTCGCAAACTGACACAGCCAATGGGTTCCTCCCAGTGGGAACACCACTGGAATCCCAGATCTTCGGTGCTTGGCTTGGCTTGGAATTTGGAACACAACGGCTAAGCGGCCGCTAGGCTCTGGCCTGCCTTCGCGGTCGCGCCGACCGCAGGGCCGACCGCAGGGCCAACAGCAGGGCCGACCGCAGGGCCAACAGCAGGGCCGCCAACAGCAGGGCCCGCAGGGCCAACCGCAGGGCCGACCGCAGGGCCAACAGCAGGGCCGACCGCAGGGCCAACAGCAGGGCCCGCAGGGCCAACCGCAGGGCCGACCGCAGGGCCAACAGCAGGGCCGACCGCGGTCGGCGCGGTAGTTGCGCCTTCACTCGGAGGTGTCAAGCCTCTGAGCCCATGGTGGTGGAAGACCGACGTTGGCAAAACGAATGACCCACGTCAAGTGAGAGAATGGTGAAGAGGAATGCAGCACCAAGTGGATGAGAATATATGAGAATCAACATGTGCTGCGTTGGACCAACCAACCAATCAACCAACCTGGAAAAACATGGAAGAGACCTCCTCCAGCTCTTTGTGTCTTGCGAATGTGAGAGATCATACAAAACATTGGTGTTCAGTACAAAGACACCCCTTTCTGTGGGCCATTTCTGAGACATGCCATTTTGTCTAAGCCTAAGCATTTTGTCTAAGATGTCTTATCGAAGTTGATAGGGACTGCTGATGGCGCGACAAAACCGCACACTATCAGGGACTTGCCCAACTTCTTGATACCCTTGTGTTTTGTGCTGTGTTCTCATTTGTCCAGCAACCAATTTATTGGATCCAAATCAGTAAAGAAGAAGCAACAAGGAATCAAATGGACACACCGCGAATCTTCCAGTCCACCGTAAATCCCAATGCAAATCCCAATGCAAACCTTCAAAGCAGCTTTCTAGAGGCTCGGGAGACTTAAAATAGACCGAGTGACTGGGTGAGCGTTCAGTTTTCTCTCTCTGTCACACAAGACATCTGGAACAAATCCAAAGGATTTGGATATGATTGGCACAAGAAAAAAGACCCTTTCAGGTGGCACAAGAAAGGTGTCACCAAGGATATGATTGACGCAAGACATGTTTGCAAACACTGACACATGGATCCTTTGGCCCAGCTATCAGGCAGGTCAACCAAAGGAAGGTGTCCGAACTCGCCTGTTATATAAATGGTGGCAGTATGAAAGAATGTGAAACCATCCGTGGTCTATCTCCGGTCTTTCAGAACACCACGTCCACACACAACACCTGTGCAACATCAGTGGGTACAACAAGAATTGCCGAAAGAGAAACGTCTGGTGCGACACGATGCCCCACCCGCCCCCCAAAACACTCGCCTCGCTCACCTCGCGGCGGACGCAAGGCCAACGCACGCTTGAGCATCTGCACCTGATTTCGATTGCGCAGTTTTCAGCATCTTAACGAAGCTCTGACCACATGCTGGTATCTGTAGAAAAGCATGATTTAAAAAATGAAACAGCAAATCGAAACGAGTAAAGAAAACAATTATATGACAACTCTGTCAAGTGTTGGTTTGGTGGAATTGCTTGAGGGTGACCTGATCCCCATTTCTAGCTCATGAAGTTGATCAAAAATACAAAGGGTGATGTGGGGCATGTTTGATCTGGCCGGCCAATGTACGCAATGTAGTTGTCAGCTTTCCATTCGAGCCAAGGACGGTTGACCAACCCCATATACTCAGTGGTAGAGTATTCATTACCCGCTTCTAGGCATCCTTTTGCAATAAAACAAGACAAACCTAAGCAGCATGATTCATGTATATCTAAAGTGTTTCTTGACCCAATCAAACACACCTGCCAAAAAACCGTGGACCCTCCACTCACCGGATCCACCCCCTCACCGGATCCGGTCCACTCCTGAGTCCCCGCGCACGGCCCGGGTGAAGACCGCCCCAGGCGCCGGCGAGCACCTCGCCCACGGGGGCCCAGTGGGCCTGGACCACCGGATCCTGCGGTAGACGCGGTCGACCGGTCGGAGGAGCGGATGGGGCGAATCGGATGGGCTAGCAACTGAAGATGATGTGGTAGGGGACCGTTCTGTTTCCTTCTCCCTGTTGAAAAGGTGGATGACTTGGTCATTGTGGATCAATAGGTCTTGAACCATCCTCATGTTGGGTGATCAAACACATAAAATGTTCATGTTCTGTGGGAAACAAGTCTGAACTCAACATAGAACCTGAAACAGAATGATTTCTTCGCGGTTCATGAGTGACCTCACCCTTCTCGTTGGACCAGTCTGACCTTCTTTTCACACCGTCCCACGGACGCTCGTGCCTTGTCCGTGGGATCTTCATGGCGTGGTGTCCACGACGCGGCATTGAAATCCAGGTCACCGTCCTTTGCCACCACCTGCAGGACGCGCTCAGCGGCGCGCCAGGCGCCAGAGCGAAGTGGATGTGGGTGGCTCAACCAGGTGGAGGTGGACCAGCGAGGTGGGAAGCATCGAGAAACTCAGGACATAAAGACAAAAGACTGACCCAGTGGCACGGCAGTCTCAACTTGACGTTCAGGGGGGCCATCACGAGTCCAAGGCAAACCAAGTGGCGAACAAAACCAACACATGAGGCCCTCGAAGCTGCTTCGTCAGGAATCTTCGGGAACAAATCCTAAGGATTCCCAACCTAGGACCTAGGAGTGTCTCTATTTCGTGTTTTCAAGCCTCATTCCATCAATCCCTACCGACTCGTCGCCCCTCTAGTCTTACTTGCAGAAGGAACCAGGGAAGTCCGACTTCGGACAGACCTCCGGACTGCCGATGCTCGAGTGACAGTGACGTGACTCCTTTGCCATGCTGAAGTCTTCTCCCGCAAGAGTGTTCATCACTGCCTTCGAAAAAACGCTAAGAAAGTATGAGGTACAGTGGTTTGTCGAACTGCGTACAGACTTGTACAACATGGGTGGAGAGACTCTTCTTCGTGCAGCTCACAATGTCACATGGAACCTTCCTCGACTAATTCAGGTCTTTCTGCACGTACCAAAAGCACCGACCCAAATTCCCCCCAACCCAAAAGCACCTGGTGTTCATCGATCCGCTGTCACCTCTTCGCATGTTCTGAATTTTGGTCCAAGGTCTTTGCACGGGGATGCTGGCTGTTGTTCCAAAACTGGGCCAAAAGGCCATATTTTTGATCGGACGCCTTGCAGTGAAGCTCCCTCCCATTCTTTCTCTCCATCTCCCTCCCATTCGCTGGACCGCCTCGGCCAGTAGGTAGCGGCATCCGAACTTCTCTTCATCTAGGTGGAGTCCTCGCAGCGGGAGTCCACCCAGGCTTCTCATCTCTGCATGGTCCTGTCAGTAATTCCCCCTTCCTTACCCTGCAAATGGACCTTATAACGATGCTTCCAATGTCCAGACCCGACTACCAGCTGTTTGGTAGCTTCATGCTATGCTTTTCCTCTTCAGGGTGCAAGTACAGGCAGCCTTTTGTGGATGTTCAATAGCTTCCTATTCAGGCAAGGCATGGCAGAAAAATGCTGCACACCATGCCAAGTCACATTACAAATCATAAATCATCATATATAAATGTATCCAAATTATCCAATCATATATCTATAACTGGTGCTGCTTGCAAAACTCATTCAGAACACGTCGTCCTTTCCGCTTGGGTGTTCGTCCGCCCGGCCCACCAGGACCTTCGTGAAGCATCACGCGATCTCTCTGAATGCTGGTCTCTTCTAAAAGCCTCGGAGACCAGCAAATGGTGAGTCTCATCCATCAGCATAGACTAAGATCGCACAAAACTTCGGGCTCAGATCTGTTTGACTCAGCAGGCCTCATTGGAAACCCTATCTAAGATGATCAACATGTGGCTTTATGCACTCGATCTTGACGATGGCTCTTGATATGGGTGGAGACATTGGACACAGGTCGTGGTGATCCACCATCTGACCATAAACATCCAAAAACCAACCTGCCCCAGCTCTGCGGACGTTCGAACCAAACCTGCCCGAACCGACGGCGCTTTCCCCCCGCGTTCGATCGGTTGGAACTTCATCGGATCGAACTGTTCATCGTCTGCGAAGGATCCGATTCTTGGTCGTTCGTAGACAACGCATAGATAGAAACATCTATTTGCATGCAATAAAACTGCCTGCCAGACAACGCCCGCCCGCATGTGTTTTTTCAGTGGATCCATCAACATCTACAATTCGGGTGTCACTACAGAAAATCTATGAAAATCTTGGGTTGACCTTCACAATCCATTTCACTCGCATTTTGTCGCCTTTTGGCTCCTCAAACCTCTTCAAACCTCTCCAAGCTGGCTGTGTCTGCAAAACGTCCCGCCACGGCCCTTGCCGCTGGAGGACTCGCGGTAGGCACAGTCCAAGACGTTTCTGTCGCTGCGCTTCCTTGTCGGGTGAGTGAGCCAACTCATCGAGTGCGCCGTTGGCGGACGTGGCAGCGCTTTCATCTTGGGGAGGTTGAGTACATTAGTCAAAGTAGCTCGAGGTTTACTGGGTAGATTGGTGTTCAGTGTGTTGCTTGTACAAACATATCTGTTTTTTTTGAAGGTGTAAGGTGGTTTGGGAGTTGAACAGATCCCTGCCCACCAAGAAACCTTCGTGGTCGGCGGAGGGCCCCCACCCCCTAGTGCAAAGCGAGGCACTTTCCTCCTTTGGGAAAGCTCAGCTTCCCGTTCCGCGACTGTACCAAGCAAACGCGGTCCTGACAGAGGTCTGCGGAGAGGTCCTGTGTGTTGCAGTGGATTCTTTGTTCTCACCCATCGGCATCCAAGATCCAAAAGACTACGGTACTACAGGACGTACACTATGACCAGAGACTAAGATACCCGAACCGGTGTACCACTCCCTGGAAAAAAGGCTTGGACTTCATATGATTTCATCAATCCAAAACCTGGAAGATGTATGAAGATGCATCTGAATGATGAACACGTCAACTTTTGGGCGAAGTCCCTCAAACAAAGAGTTCACCCCTACCTCCAGAGCCTCCGGGACTTCAGACTCAGACCCCTCTGGGCCCCCCCTCCTCCCGGAAGGCGATGATGCCAGCACCCCGTGGGACGCCCACATAGGGTCCATGGGCGATCGGGGGGGCCTGTCACACGGACGATCAGTCGGCTCTGGAGCAGATCCCCCGATCGCTCGGGCGGCCGATGGCGACTGGTCAAGGACTCGAGCGGCTGTTCTTCAGTCAGAGAAAAGTCAGAGAAAAAAAAACAAATCTGATTTGGGGGGCGTTTCTCGTTTGTTTCTTCAGAGAAGATCTGATTCCGCGCAAAACCCCCCCAAATCTCAAACGCTGGCTGAGCGCTTCTTCTGACGGCGGCTTCGATGGGCCTTACCTCTCTGTCTGCACCGGTTGTGTGCTCACGTGTAAGGACATACAACCGCCCAGCCTCAGGCCAATTGCTATTGGCAGTTTCTCTCGTCACCTGGCACGCGGATCACGGAGCAAGCTCCCCTCGTTTCATGCGCAACTAGCCCAAGAACCCATCAGAAGGGAACCCGCATCAGGATTTGGGAGCCGTATCCATGATATAGTCATGAACCTCCAAGGGGTGTCTATTTATAGCCACTTAGCTGTGATTCGGGGTGTCCATGAATCACCCAACTCCTGGGGTTCCTGCGACATCAAGTTCAGGAGACCATGTCTGTTCTCGCCAGCGGAGACCAGCGTGACCAAAGTTCCCCGTAGGGTCAGCTCTCGCCTGTGGTGCTCGGAGGTCACGACCTGGTGGAGAAGCTGAAGCAAACTGAGCCAGGACGCTACGAACGTCAGTAGCTTCTGGCCTTACTACTAGTGTATATAACAAGAAGCTATGCACGGTGGAGGCCGCTATTAGGTTGGAGGCCATCGCTACTAGTAATAAGAAGCTACTAGTAGCAGACATTCCTTGAACATCCTCATGGTTGTGTGGATGGCACCCCTTGGACGACCAGTTTCCTTTACAATGGGTGGTGAACTCCACTTCCATGATGATCCCAAGGAGTGTAGAGGTCTTTTTCGTCAGAAAATAGAGAAACACACATGACCAACTACTCGACGGCAAAGAACTAAGACCTCTGTAGTCCCACATCGGTGGTCCCTCCACCATTCACGCAAGCTCACAACACCCACAGTTCGTTTCGTAACGACCCTCTCAGCTTGGGACTGGGATAGGGATGCCTTCCTTCATTCCTCGCCACGCAGCATGTGGCGCGGATCGGCCATCCAGGATGACGCATGCGACATCTTTGCAAGGAGGAATAGACAAGGCCTGCATTGTCTTGGGTGAGAGCAAGTCGCCCTTGACCTTTGTTCCAGGAAGAAAAAATGTTGATGGTATCTCACAAGAGACGACCCCAGCCAGACCCAGTCAAACCCAGCCAGACCCTCAGTAATGCAGGCACTGCTTGGGGTCGCCTCTTCAAATTAGAGCCAAATCAACAAGTGCCCAAGAAGTCCACAGCTTGACCAAGTCACGAAGCCTCGGAGAGACCTTGGGCTGAGACCTTGGGCTACCCTGCAACACCGATCAAGAAGGTTGACCCCAAAGTCTTCATCACGTTCTTTACAAGGATCGATCCTCCTGAGACGTTGAGAATTCTCCAACAAGAAACGACGAACACCACCCCAATTACAAGAGGAAGAACTGTGTTGGCCGACCACATGAATGACTTGAACCGATCCACCATGCTTTGGTGGCCCCTGTGATTTTGGTGACTCAAGAGTTTCACCATGTCACCATGGCTCTTGCTTTGAGAACTCTGAAAACCTGGTTGGGGTGATGTCTTTCTCATTGAGGGATCCAAAAGAAAGGCCTTTGAGACATCCCTTCCTGGAGGAGCCCAAAGTTGGATGGATGAGTTCCGACAGCTCTTGAGGACCTCGAAAAGCACTCATTATCAATTCCATGAGGTTCCATTTCTCGATGAGCTTCCAGCTTCGAAGTCTGTTTCGCTGGATGGATCGAACACTTCTGTGCCCAAACATCCTGACCATCCAGAAAGTGTCTTCGCCCTCTCGTCCAGGCACCCGCACTGAGTCGTCCCCAGGTTCAGCTCCGGGACACGATGAGGACCGTAGCCATTGGGCCCTGGGCAGGACAGACCGCATGTCCACTGCAAATGCCTGAAAACCATGAAAAGCATTGACAAACCCAGTTTTTGCCTGCTCACCTGGACCAAAGCTGGTTCCACGGAATGTGTGTGGTCCGCACCATATTTGCACAAGTGATGCCCAGGATGGCCCAAGGATCACCTGCTTCGTTCACCTCTCAAAGCCCTCCAAGTGACCACCCTTTGAGTATCCCCAACTGGTTTCGTCACGAACAGCTTCATGAAAGATCTGGAAGTCCGGGTTTCATGGAGTTGGGTGCTGAAAACACCCGCCATGTAGTCAGACATGTAGAAAGACTTCACCCTGTAGAAAGACTTCACCTTGGACCGTCACCTTGACATGAAACTGCTAGCTGATTTCCTGATGCTTTGGGAACCCAGGTCTCCTTCGATCCACCGAAGCAACTAGCTCACCACCCAGCGCCCCAGCGCCCCAGCGCCCCAGCGCGTCGCGCGGACGTCCACGGTGCCTAGCACCGGTGGAGGGATGACGCGGGGCTGTGTGACACGGCCTTTGGGGTGAGGGGGGTGAGTGGGAGCGGTTCGCAAGCTGGCCTCAACTAGCTCACAAGCATGCGAAACATGGATTCACTTGGCTATATATATATATATATAGTTGTTCTTTCATTGTCCACCTTCCCATTCTAGTGGCCATGGCACAAGAATGGCAGGAAACAACCGGAAGGGAAAACCAAATCAGGTTGTTCACAGGGTCAAGAACACATCGAAAAGGACTCACCTGGTGCGGACTGACCTGGGAAGAAAGGGACTCACCTGGTCCAGTGCAGCGACACACTTTCGGTACCCAAGTCCGGCTTGGAAGTCTCCAGAGAGTGCAGCGACACTCAAGACATCATCTTGCTACGTTTCAGCGACACACTGCCTTCCATGCCTAGCTTTTTTGGCCCAACATGAACACATCGAATCGGAGGATACAACATACAGTATCCTTGATGAAAAGGAAGAGTTTGGCATCACTCATGAACGGGTCACTTGCCAAGCTGAAATATAATCGAAGACCTCTAGAGGTGCTGGCCCCCTTTTTTCGGATGACCAAGTTCCAAATACCAACCAGGTGGCTTTCACTTCACTTCCACGGATTCGTTCAAGGTTAATCCACTTTTCCTGGGTACATTGTCCAAAATCTGGCCTGGCAGCTGGGGGCGAATGGAGGAGTGAAACAACCATCAACCTCCAGCAGGTTTTGTGCCATCCTGGGCTCCTGGCCTACAGGAAGCGGTCCAGACATGGCCACTTGGACGAACAGATCGAAGTGTTTTACAGTGAAATAGTGCCTTCTGACAAGGCACTAGACTTTGGTCTATACAGCTGCACCTATTTTGTCGGGTCTGCGCAGTTCAGGGCAGGGCAGAGAGTATGTCTTGTGACTTTGGAGAAGCCGTCCAGCTAAGCGTCTATGAGTGTCTAAGAGTCACCAAGGTGCATTGGGAGCTCCAGCTGCCCAGCTTCAAGGAATATAGCTGAAGAAGAGGCCCATTCAACTTGCATAGATCTACTTGGGAGGTTGTTTAAGAGCAAAGTTCCCCATGACTGAGCAGCGCCAGATCATCTTTGCACATGAATGAGGATCGAGGCTTGCAATTCATCTTTGACAGGTCATACTGCGCCCAAGAGAACCAAAGAGGACCAGCGGAGCAGCGCAAGGCATTGGCGTTTCATGTCAATGTGGAACTGCAAGTGGCATGAAATTCAAATCAACTGACTTGTAAGTCATCCAAAAGGTCTAAGAACCCATCGCATTCCCCCGCCGAACAGTTCGGGCTCTTTGGGATGTGTCTCATCTGCCACCTTCGAGTCTACTAGAGGTGAGGTCCTTTGGCCTCACAAGGCCGGCCAGAATCAAGGCCCAAAACAAAAAAACCCGTCACCGCAGGTATTCCAAAACCAAAACAAACCCAGAAAGTCATGGGTTCAGACATGGGGTCAAACCTCACAAGTCCCCAAATCCGTCCAAATTGCCCGAAGAGCGTCCAATTCCGGCCACACACCCGCACTCGCCTTGCGCATTATGAAGTCACCCCCGCGGATGAAGGGTTTGTTCCCATGGTTCTGCCTGAAGTGCCACAGAATCGCTACTAGGGGCTCCTGGCCTTACTACTAGTAGCAAGGACGCTACTAG